TTCGGTATGGTTAGTCTGGAGGGATCACTAGAGTGTCTGGGTCAAAGCCTCTGCTAATCCTTTCTGACTGTTCTTTCCTCCAAGAGACTTTTTTAGTACACAGCTAATCCCTGTTTAACATTTAAATATAGATAGCTCATGGGTCTCTAAAGATTATGGATGCCCCTTTTGGCAAACAGTAGCTTTGGATAGCATTGGGGGCACTTACTTTTGCTGAGCTTAGCCCAATTATTTCTGGAACAGGTAACACAAATTCACACACTAAGCAAAGGGAGGGAAGAAAAAAAACATTGTTGGAGTGTATTGTGTTACAACAACAGTGTGGTAGGTAAGACGGGAGCTCCTTGCCCGATGTGGTCAAAAGGTAACATGGGAAAGTAGCCTGAGAATAGAGAGTGTAGCTTTCTCAATGTGAGGGTTCTGAGCAGTGTTCCCTCCAATTTTTCCTACGCATGTGTGGAATTAATTTTGTTATGTGCACCAATATGGAAGGTGCACATAACAAAATTCATGTGGTGGGGGTAATGCTCTCCCAAAAAATACTGAACACGTGGGATAAAAATGTTTGTCGAGGGGGGAAAAAAAAGAAAAGATCACGCGTGTCTGGCATACAAAAAAAAACCCCACACCGCTTGGCTTCAGCACACAACCACAGGAGGCACCACCAGGCTTCCGTTGAGTGCCCAGCCGGAAAAACAGAAAATACCAGACATTACACATGTCTGGTATATTCTGAATTTTTTTACCGGACAGAGGGCGCAAAAACCGCAGTGATCCACCCCCTATTGCCCATTCCCAGCATCTGGCAAACAGAGACCAGGGACACTTCACTGCTTGACTTTTCAGGATTTTGGGGTGTCTGGCAAAGCACCCTGGGATGAAGTGGGGAATTGAGGGGGGCTCACAGGATGAGGTTGTGAGGAGGCACATGGGGGGGTCAGGGGCTCACAGGGGTAGTTGTGGGGTCTCCAAGGTGGGAGCTGTGTGTGTGGGGAGGGGGGGGCAGGAGCTGCCAGCCCAGGGTGAGGACCTGCCGCCTGCACGTGCTGCGTGTCTCTGACCTCGCATGGTGCTCTGGGTGCAGCTGCCAGGTTTGTGTGTGGGGCGGGTCCCAAACCCGGCCAAGCCAGAGTGCTCCCGCTGCAGGGACCCGAGTGGTGGGTCCGTGTCTTGTGCCAGAGGTGGGGCCCTGTGATGTCGCGGGGCCGGGGCAGCCACTGGCTGCAGCCGGAGTCTAATGGGCTGAGCCCCCAGCAGGCACTCCCTCTAGTTGCTAGCAGAAGCCAGGCTGGGGCAGGGGGAGTGGCTGACATTCCCAGCCACTCCCCCCGCCCGGCTTCTGCACAAAACCAGAGGCTCCTAGCGCCAATCGCGACCCCGCCTCCTAGTTGCTCCCCCGCCCCTGCCAGGCTTCCATCCGGCGCCCAGCCAGAAATTCAGAAAATACCAGACGTTGTACATGTCCAGTATTTTCTGAATTTTTTTACCGGGCAGAGAGAGCAAATACTGGACTGTCCGGTAGAAAACAGGACACCTGGCAATCCTAGGTGGGGTGGGACAGAGGGCGTGCAGAGTGGGAGGTGGCTCAGGGTTGGGGCAGAGGATTGGGGTGCTGGAGTATGAGGTCTATGGCTGGGGATGAGGGGTTAGTGTGCAGGTGGTCTCAGGGCTACAGTGGGGAGAGAAGACTTCCCCCAGCTTTCTCTCCCTTCAGCAGCACCTGGGCTGGGGTATTGGCAGGGGAGAGGTGCCTCTCCCTGCTGTGGCAACTCCGGACTGGGGCTTCAAGATAGGTACCTCTTCCCGGGCCATGCCAGGTTTGGAGGGAGGGAGGAAAGAGCTCCCTTCACTCAGCCACAGCATGTCTAGGCTAAGGTTGGATTCTGGCTGTGGGAGAGAAGCCTCCGCTGCAGCAGGTCTGGGGCTGGACTAGTTTTGGGCTGGGGGTGGGCTCTCTCTCCCTGAGCCACGGCAACCCATGGGGCTTCTGCTACATTTCAAAGGCAGAAGCATTGCAGTTCCCTACTGCACCTCTGCCTTTTAAATGTAGTAAGAGCTGCAGGTGGCTCTTACTACATTTAAAAGCAGAGACGCAGCTGGGATAGCTTGTCCCCCACCTCCTTCTTATCGACTAATCGAGTAGTCCATGGAATTTCCATCGACTGCTCAATTAGCTGATTAATCGAAATTTAACATCCCTAGACACAACTGTCGAGAAGAAAATAAAATTCAGTATAGAGTGAAATAAATGAACACTGGAGTGAATCAGCCTATTTTTCAGTTGTGCTGTTCCAGTTGCTATTACTCTGTCAATTGAAATGTAATGCTGCTGACCTTGCATGTTGGTGCTTTTCCAAGAAACTAACCAGAATGAGTCTTCCATTTATAGTGGGTTTTCAGTAGTTGCTGGGAGAAATGTTCATAATAAAACACAATCTTAATACCTGACAATCAAGCCAGTTGTTCCACTTTTTGTGCAATAAAAAGATTGGATGGAAATGACAGCTATATTGGAGGAGGGACCAGTTCAGGTCCTGGAGGTTTATCCCAGAAAAGTAACAAAGTGTCTGACTATGGAGTAAAACAAATAGGCACATGGCCAAATGTAAAGACTATAAATGTGAGAAGCGTTAAAAGCAAACAGGTAAATGTGAAATGCTGCAATATCTAGCTAGAAACTGAACAGGAAAGACAGATTAGGTTGGATTCCATAGATTCTACTGCTGAACAGATTGGATCATTGTCACGCATCCATCATGGTCACGCACTTGGGTAGGGTGCTGGCTGGGTGGGTGCTCCTGTTGAATTTGGAGCTCAGCTCGCTGGGCTCTAGGTGGTCTTTAAACCTCCTGAGCCTGGACTAGTGATGTAAAATCCTGTTTAATGAGTTAACCATTTTAACTTTGTTTAACCAGTTAACTAAACGGGTGGGCTTGGGGGCAGCTTCAGCCCAGCTAGGCTGGAGCTGCTCCTCTGCCTGCTGTAGCAGGGATGGAATGCCCTTCTCCCCCTCTGCCCTCTCCCCCTGCCATGGCTGTAATGCACCTGCCTGCAGTATAAACCTCACTAGTTAAGGGTGAAGATAACCAGTTAACTTTTCACATCCCTAGCCTGCACCACCCATGACTAGGGCTGGAGTCTCACTCCCTGTTACAAGACCAACATATGGTGACTGGCACCACACCTGCTCTGTATAATTTTGCTATTGTGAAGCAAAAAATGAGAGCTGATGATGTGAGTGAGACACCATTATAGAGTTGAAATGTTCTCTTCCATTGCTTATTCCAGTCTCAGGTATCTAATATAGACTGTGAGTTTTCTGTGTATGATATAAGCCGTGAGATAGTTTCAATCCACTACCTCTAAGTTATTTAAATATTCTGATTGCTGTATGGGAAGATTTCAATAAGGAGGTGATTAAGGACTGGCCCATTTTCTTGAAGATTATATAATGAGAAGGGGAAAACTGAAAATTGAATATATTCATAGTCTAGAGATTGCAATAAAGCTATGTCTCTTGCAGCTCAGGAGATAATAGTGTCTTATTCTCCATTACTGTATAATTTAGAAGACAAACGTTTTCGTGAATCTGTAGTTTCTAATGCATTGTGGTGTTTTGTTTGAAACCTCACGTTGAGTCCTAAAGATATCTGTGCTAAAGCAAATCTTTCAGCTTTGTGTACAATACTAAGCTTTAATCATGTTAAATGCAATTGGATTATTATCCAAGATTTCAGGAGATTCAGAAATATGAAACCTCGGTGCTGCTTTCCCCCTCTTGCATGAACCAGGAAGGAAAGTTGCAATTCTTGTGGGTGTGACAATTTGTATATCTGGTGACTGATTTTATGTACCTTGGTGGCAGCACTGATCTGCCCTGAGAACCTGGCAACTACAAGAAGCCACTCCATCCCTTTCCTCTTCTCCTGCACCATGTGAAAAGCCAGTGCCATGAAGAATCATGGAATGCATTGGTGTGGGGGTGATTCCCCATGCCCTGCCAGCGTGCCTGGAGGAATCATCATGAGAGCAGCATGGACGAGCGTGGGTTGTTGATGGTTGGTGTGGGCTGGAATTTGTGGGCGCTAAAGTGCCATTCCTCCTACAAGTACGCTTCCAATGCATTCATTAATCTGATTCACTGTCATTGATCATAGCCCACAAGATGTGAGTTATTTTGTTGGTTATTTCATTTTAAATCTGTCACTTACATCCACTTCAAAACAGAGTGATCCTGTGATCTTATTACTGTCACCTGATCTTTCCTGACCCTATTGTGTTATTTGTTGGGCCGAGTTTTCAAAGGGTCCAGAGGTCAGATTTTCAAGTGCTCAGCACGCACAGCTGAGGCCTCAGGCCTGATTTTCGAGATCAGCTCCCATTTAGTCACCTATATATGGGCCAGATTTCCAAAAGTGCTCAGTAGCCACTCCCCTTTTGATACTGATGGCCAGATTAAAAAAAAAAAAAAGCAGATTAGCAACAAATGGCCACTCATTTAAGTTCCTAGGTAGGAACTAAGCACTTTTGGAAATCTGGCCCTCAGGGTCATGCCTCAGAGTTTAAAGGGAAAATTTTCAAAAGTACCTAAAGGGTTTAGGAGCATAAGTCACTGACTTTCACTGTGACCTGCACCCATACTTGTGTGCTTTGAAAAATCTCCTTATAAGTTCTTCAGGGCAAGGAAAATAAGTGTGATTTTTTTTTTCAGAAGCATTTAAGCAAGTTGGGAGCACAATTTCAGTGCGAGTTGTGTTCCTAAATCTCTAATGTGCTTTAGAGAATCCCAGCCAGTATCTTTCTGTTTGCTCTGTACACAGCCTACCACACTTGCACATGCAATATGGAATAATAAATGAAAACAGTGTGATGGGAATGATGCATGGTATATTGTTGCTTATAACAGAGATGGCTAAATACTGGATTCTTGTTTAATGATCCTGGTGAAATGGAGGAGCAATTGTTATAAGGAAACTGAGACTCTTTGTAATTATTTGCAGACAGATTACCATTATGAATACACAGAATGTGACAGCAGTGGATCCAGGTGGAGAGTGGCTGTCCCCAATCCATCGGTGGAGTGCTCTGGATTACCTGACCCCATGAAAGGAAAAGAATGCAGTAAGTTTGTCCTTTTCATTTTGCAGATCTTTATTAGTAATGCATATTTGTTCTCTGTTTAATGTTAATGTACTGATAATAACCATTGGCACTGGTTAATTACCAGTGCGGGCTACTGGAGTGGGATTCAGGAGATGGGTACTATTTCTCCTAGCTTTGCCCATTGACTTCTTATGCAACCTTGAATAACTTGCTTACCCTCTCATTTGTTTCCCTTCTCACCCTTGTCTTGCTTATTTAGACTAAGGGTGGGGGACATAAGGCCTGGGGGCCGCATGCGACCCCTCTCCCCTGCTCGCCTGGATCTGTCCCCCGAGGTTTAGGGCTTTCCCCCAACATTGGGGAGCCCTCACTGGTTCTTCAGCCTCTCGCTGCCCCATTGTGGGGCTGGAGCACACAAAATCTACTAGCCTGGGCCTTCTAGGCTTTGGTGTGTGAGGGGAATGGGGGGAGTGTCTTTCTCCTTCTCAGTCGGGGGCCGTGTCAGTGAGGGTTTCTTTTTTTTGTTTGTTTTTATTTTTTTTGCTTCTCTCTTGTGTGTGGCCCCTGAATGATTTTTCTGTGGGTCAGCAGCCTCCAACCTAAAAAAAGTTCCCCACCCCCGGTTTAGACTGTAGGTTGGGGACTGTCTTTTACTGAGTGTAACACAAATGTGCGTGATCTAGAGACGATATGAATCTGTCACAGCAGCACTTGTGCAGTCACAGATCTGTAGCTCATGCTTCTACATGGGCTCCTGTTTAACACATTTAGGAATTTTTCCCAAAGAATTATCTCCCTCCTGGGTCATTGCTGCTAGGATCATATGGCAACTGAACCATGTTGGGAACCAGCTTGATGTGCCTCTATTTTTTGCCTTTTTTCCCTCTCTGTCAAGTACTTCAATCAGTTTCAGATTTTCAGGATCACAGGATGCTACTCCATTCAGTGATAACCGCTGGTATTGTCCAATGTTTGGGTTCATTTGGTTGTCTTTGTACTAGGTCTCCTGATTTAACTTTGATAAACTTCTGACTGAATTCTGATGGCCAAAGACTTGTTAGATTTGGCATCTCTGAGACTCACATCCTTTAAGGATAAGGCTAGTTAAGCTCTGGAATAAGCTTCCAAGACAGGTTGTGGAATTTCTGTCAGTGAAAGTCAGGAAAGGTCTAGATTTATTTGGTCCTGTCTGAGCATAAGGGGTGGACTAAATGATGTTTTGAGGTCCCTTGAAGCCAGCCCTATGTTTCTATGAGTCTGTAAGTAGAACTTCAACACATAGAAAAAATAACAAATGGCTTTCAGATGGGGTGAATCTTCTCTCACACAGGTCTAGCAATGTTCTTTCTCCTACTCATAGAGGGTGAACCTCTAAAATCTGGGACTCTCTGGTCTGGCAAAATCTGTGGTCTGGAAGGACCACAGATATTTCTGGACCAGAGAGTCCTGGCTGGCCAGGTTTAGGGGCTGGGCTCATAGTGGTGAGGAGCGTGGGGCTGGCTGAGGCTGGCGACGGGGAGCTCAGCCCTGCCCCGCTGGATGCAGCGGGGCTAGCACGGCCAGGAGTGCAATCCTGTCAGCTGGGACTGGGTACGTAGCCCCAGCTGGGCCAGAGGCAGTGGGGTCAGCACCCAGGAGTGCAGTCATTTGGGACTGCTCAGGTCCTGAGAGTGCCAGACCAGGATCATCCCACCTGTAGTATTTTTTTGTCCAGGCTTTAAGAAACTCATTATGTGGTGTCTTTTTGGTTATTCTGCAAAGTTAGTGCAACCTAAATAAAGGGGGCGGTAAGTCAATTTGCTCACCAGTTCTGTGTCTCAGTACTCCTTTCTCTGACTTAAATTGTTTGCACAGACCTGGAATTCAACACGTAGAAGAAATCTATTGCTAGATTTTCTATAAGAACTTTTCACATGCTAGAAGTGGCTATTATAATAGGGTTCACATTCTTTTTCTTCTTAGGAAAACCCTACCATATAATGCATTTACACACAAACATTCTCTCTCTTTCAGCCTTTTCAAAACTCTTTTTACTAAGTAACATTCCAAAGAAAAAATGTTACAGTACAGCAGTTAAAACGCAGCCTAGCTAAACCAACATCACTAGCTAGAGATTTTTTATTTTCCTTTAAAATGGACTCTATAATACACAACCTAAGCCCTGGGGATTGGAATTTCTGACAATCAGCTATTCTGTTTTCACAAAGGCTCACCATAGGTATTATTTTTAAAACTAGATTCAGAACATTTAGTGGTATCACATAACCAAATATTTCAGCACCCACAATATTGAGCATAGATACTACTTTGATTAAGAAAGAAAAAAAATGTCAATTACGTAGCTGTTAAGATTGCTGAGGTGTCTTTGATTCAGTGATCTCATGCAGTTAACAAAGACATTTGGTCTGCAGTCTGCAATTCCTCCTGGATGGTATTTTCTCAGTCCCACTGAGTTTTATACAATTATGGGCAACTGTAATGAGATCCAGCCTACAGATTCAGTCTGGTTATCTTGGCAGCCCTATCTTCTCTCTGAAGGGGAAGGTTGGATCTGACTGGTGCTCAAATGGCTGCCAGTTTGTACCCTGATGAAAGCTCCTGGTCAATCAGGAGCAAGTTCAAGGTTCTAACTAAAGGACTGCATATTTACACACAAGAAGGTCAGCCCTTAATGAACACACAGCTTCAGCACAGCTTTTGAGCATGTGTGACCACTTTCTGCACTCCTCCTGCTAGGGTGCTGAAATAGCAACTACTTGTTTGCAGTCACTCAAGGCTCCACACTGCCATCTTTTCTGGAAAAGTTTTCATTTAAACTCCGAGCAAGCGGAAGCTGCAACTGTAATTGTAGCAATGAGGTTTTTGGCTCAACAACAGAAAGTAGAAATGAAAATGGGGTAACATTAGCATGATTCCACCTATTATTTTAGATCCTGTCCTGTGCTGGGCCAGCATATTGACATTTGGGATCCTTTTTTGTGGAGGCCCTTGCATATCCCTTCTACTGCGTCATATTGCAAGGCCTGTGGGACTATGTTGCAATTACTGCAGGTGACATTCAGCTTCAGAGAACTCACCTCCCATTGTGTGGCAGTTATGGGCTGTATTTTGAGACCCCCAATAGGTGACTGAGCCAGCTGTGTTTTATATTCTTGGAAACAGGTTACTGTTATGTATCAGTGTTATTGACTTAATTGGTTCTAAGTTCTGCAGCAGTGCTGACACTACTCAGTGTGTGCTCCTCTATCATCCCGGCTCAAATTCAGGACCAGGAGGTCTCCATAGCTCAGAATATCCTGGATCAGTGTTCCCTCTACGCTGCGTGGCAGCACAGCCTCACAGGTGATGATTAATCAGCCCCCCCAGTGAGAGGCTCAGGGCTCCGTGCATGGAGCTGACTGGCTGGGCGGAGCTGATTAATCACCCATGAAGCTGTGGATTCCCACATATGCAGAGGAGCATTGCATTATTGGATTGACTGGGAAGATTATGGGCCCAAAGAATATTCCTGGGAGCCAGTCCAGCCTGTTCATGTCCCTGCAAAACCATGGGCCTTCCACAAGGATTGCCTTGAAAAGCCTGGCCCTAAGGAACTGTCACAGACCACAGGTCTCAAATACAGGCCCAGGAAGGGTTGTAAATCAGGACCCTTACTGTTTGTGCCACCGTACTGCAATGCCAGCCAGGGAAACTGCAGATGTACCCTGCAAACAGAGACAACGCCCGCTGGCCTTACTGTTTGTGCCACCGGACTGCAATGCCAGCTAGGGAAACTGCAGCTGTACCCTGCAAACAGAGACAACGCCCGCTGCCTCAGAGGGATCAGTTGATCAATAGCTTACTGCCAATTCTATCTCCTAATATTAAGCATCCGGTTCCTATCACACCACTTGTCTCAGCAAATATTGACTAGGCCTGCTGCTGACCGAACCCCTAAGGCCAAGTGCCTATATCTTTGCCTGGTTCGTGCTACTTGGTCCTTATCACATTGCTCCATGTTTCTGTTCCTTCATGCTAACCCCAGTTATTGACTGCGGCTTTGATTCCTGGTGTGACTTCTGACTTTGGTTTCATCCTTCATGGGACTCGTGACCTGATTCTCTTCTCTGAGCTTCGACTGTTATGCTAGATTGTCCACAAATGGCCCCTCACCCTCACTGCTAAGAAATGTTCCCCAGACACCTGACCTTCTACCTTCCTACTACAGCTTTAAAATTGCATAATGACTATCCTCCCAGGACTACGCATGTGTAAGGGCTTGCAGGCAAAGCTCTTTCCTTAGTAAAAATCCATTAGTTCTCTGCATATTGCTTGAATCATTCTATTTCTCCTTTTTGATAAGAAGTGTGCTCTGTTTACTTTTGGCTCCTGACTTTTAAATTATCATAACATTTCATTATACTTAGATAATATTCTGACTCTGCAGAGTCTTCTCCCAACCGCATTCTGCCTCCTTCTGGGGGAATTAGCAGTCCATCTGCAGCCTCGATGGTCCAGTACAGCAGCAAAATCTAGCCCCTCGCTTCAGGGGCAAATTGCAGTTTTTCAGCCAGGTTCCTCCATGGCAAGTGTAGTGCAAGGGGGAGGGGGGGGGGGGAAAGACGATCCAGACCCGCCCACTACTGTGGGTCCCATTTACTGCCCTCCTTCACTCCCTTCTATTGCCAATATTCTCTGGACCACTTCCTTGTAGCCCTTGCACTTACCTCCTCCCTGTATCAGAGCAACAGTCTGGCAGTTTGCCTAGAGCTGAGCCCACCCGCACTGCTCTGTCCAAGGTGCTGCTCCTTTTACGGGGAGCTAGTCCTTTGCACTTGCTGGTCAGAGCAAGACAGACCTCCTGTTTGCTCTGCAGCCACCTTATAGAGCCTGGCTTGGCCCTGATTGGCTGTCCACAGGCCCCTTTAAATTGGCAAACAACAAATAGTCTAGCAGCACCTTAGAGACTAACAAAAATGTAGATGGTATCATGAGCGTTTGTGGGCATAGCCCACTTACTCTGATGAATGGAGTTAAGG